CCCCGGCGCGGCGGGACGGTTTAAAACATTGCAGCAGCCTGACACCGGGGCTGGGCGTGCCTGGCGTCCTCCCGGCACCCAGCAATCCCTCCCCGAGAAAGGAGGCTTTGCAGACATTGCACCAACCTGCCCACAGGAAGGAGAAAATAAATAGGTGCTCTAAGCATGTCGGACCCCAAATTCTGTGTACTCCTCTGGGGTGGAGGCCGGGGGCCTGATTCAAAGAGTAGGACTCTTCGGCTAACTTTTCCCCCCTCCCCATTCCTTGGAGCATGTGTCATGGCCTGTGACACACCGCCAAGGGAGCACGGATGCTGGGGAAATGTCTACACACGCTACACGTTTGTGACATGCCATGTAAGCGACACCCTGTTTCCTGGCTGCGTTTTCTTGGCACAGGTGTGGGCAGGCATTGGGTTCTGCCCCCCTCCCACTGTGCTTAGTAAACAGGATCGCGGCGGCCCCAGGGGGGCCCTGTCCGTTCTGGGGAGGGCGGGCCACCTCTCCAAAGAGGATGGGACCCCCACAGCAAGGCTCAGGCCCAAGCCACCGGCGGCCACGGCATTTGAAACTGTCCTTGTTTCAAAACACAAAGCATCCTGTTCAGGCTCCTACCCGCCACCCCCACCCCCCACCACCACTGCTGTCTTTCTCCACGTATGAAGGAGGCCACCATTTGCAGATTTCATTTCAGAAACAGATCAATTTCTCCTCTGCATCTCATCCGGCTGACCCTGCCCTAGCCATATATTTCAAAACAATAACAACCACCAAATAAAACCTCCGGCAGCAAAACACACGTACATACACACACCCCACAGACAATGCGCGACCCGGGGCTCCACAACCGGGGGAACCCGACCCCCCTCGGGCTGGAGCTATTCCAGGCCCACGGCCCCCTCCCCCTCCACTTCCACCTCCCAATGTGCAAATGAGATTTTCAGAAAGGGAAGCACCCAGTTTCGCCTGCCAGCCCCAGGAAGGAAAAAGAATAAAGGACGGGGAAAGCTAAGAAAGGAACCAGCTTCTGGAAATTCTTGGGGCTTGGGGGTTTTGAGGTTTTGATTTTCTTTTTTTTTTTTTTTTTTAATTTTTGGGTCGTGTTTTGTTTTCTCCTCCAGCTCAGACCCAGATGGGCCACGGGCTTCCAGAGAGGGAACCCCCACCACGATGAGGGCCCGGCCCGGGGCCGATCCCACGGCCCCCCGCCACCAGAAACCGGAGAGGGCTCGGGCGCACAAGGTCCCCAGACACCCAGCCCGGGGTGGGCCACACGTCCCCGGCGTTCGGAGGGTCCCTCCCGAGCCCCGCCGGCTGGCGTGGGCTTCAGATGCCCAAAGCCAGCCCGGGGAGCAGGCCAGGAGCGGGGCGCCCCGGCTCTCCGCGTGCCCCGCACCCCCACGCCGCACAGGCCCCGGGCCCCAGGTGCGGCGCCGAGGGGCGGCCGGGGCGCAGCCCGGGCCGAGGGGCGCGCGGGGGCGCAGCCGGCAGAGCGACTCACCGTGGCGGACGCCAGGCTGTTGTCGGCCAGCGTTAGGTGGTGCGGCTCCCAGCGCCTCAGGAATTTCGAGGTGAGGATCTTGCTGAGAAAGGTCCGCGGGTGCCGGATGACACAGACCTGAATGTCGCCCTCCTGCAGCAGCTTGTACCTCATCCCGTTGCACAGCAGGAGGGCCCGGCGGCAGGGCACGGCGCCCATCTTCGTGCCCTCGGGCGCCGACACGTCGCCCCCCAGCAGCGGCTTGGTCTCCTCGAGCTGCCGGGGGTCGCCGCCGCCCGCGCTGCTGGTCAGATCCATGGCCGCGCCGCGGCGGGGGGCGGGGAGCGGGGGCTGCGCGGGGCTTCTGGGGCGGCGGGGCCCCCGGATCCGGCGGCCCGCACCCCCCCACCCCCCGGGAAGGTGGGGGGGCGTGGGGCTGGCGGCGCCCGCAGAGGAGGGGGCGCTGCCCGCGGGGGCGGCGCGCGGCGGGCTCGGCCGGCCTGGGCGCTTCCTGCGGGGCTCCCGCTTCCTCCTAGCTCGTCGGGTGCATGCTCGCGGCGGGACGGCGGGCGGCGGCCGGCGGGCGCGGCGGGGCGGGCGGGCGCCGGCGGGCGGCGGCGGGGCGGGCGCGGTCTCGGGCCCGCCGCCGCCCGCCGCGCGTGTGGACGGTGCGAGCGGCTGCGCGTCGGCCGGCGAGTGTGCGGCGGGCGGGCCGCGGGCCGGCGCGGCCGAGCGACGGCAGGACCGGCGGGGCGCCCGCGCGATTGGTCCCCGCGGGGTCATGTGCCCGCCCCTCTGACGTCAATGGCGGCAACGGCGGCGGCCGCCGCGGTTTCGGCCTCTCGCGGGCGGAGTCCGCGCGCCGGGCGGGGACTGGGGGAGGCGCGGCCCGACGGGAGGGCGCGAGGGGCTGGGCGGGCGAGCCCGGCAGGCCCGGCCGCCGCGCCCGGTGGGAGGGCGGGGGCGCGGGCGGGCCGCGACTCACGCCGCCGCGCCCCGCCGTGCCCAGCGGGTGCAGACCGGGCGGCCGCGGGCCGGGGCGACCGCCGCCCCGACGGCCCACGCCGGACTCGGAGGGGAGGCAGGGCGCCACGACGGCCCAGGTGCGGCCAGGTGGCAGCTGGGGGCCCGGGCTGGGCGGGGGTGGGGCGGAGGCTGGACCACTTGACCTCTGACACCTCCTCCCTGGCCAGGCTGCCCGCCAGGCTGGCCAGAGGGGGCCGCAGGACAGCGGTTTCCTTGGCCTGGGGTGCTCACACCTCCTGGAGAGAGCCCCCGTCCTTCCTTCCGTCCCTGGAGACAGAGCCTCTTCTAGGAACCCAGGTAACAGCCACCCCTCCTCTACCTCAGACCTGGTTATGCGTCTCTGGGTGGGCCGGGAGAGGATGGTACTGGAAGGGCCTTTGTGGGATGAACCACAGAGTCACAGACTCCAGCCTGGAAGCAGAACATGCCCTTTCTGCATCACAAGCTGCTCCTAAGGCCACCCAGCAAACGGCCAGCTCCTCCGCGGGCTTTCTTACCTCCGTTCCATCCCGCAGCTAATAACGTTAAAACCCCAGATTTTTGCCTTTGTGTTAAGTGAAGGTGCCTCTGTCGTGAACACGTGAACGTGTGCAGCGTGTGTTGAATTGCATCGTGACTGCCGCAGAGTGTCCACTGCGTCCTTGCGCTGGGAATTGTTCACACCCCTCCCTGTCTCCCAAGAGCAGACAGCATGGCGATGCTCCCCCGGGACCCTCTTCCCGGAACCTGGCCAGGGCTGGGGGCAGGCGGGAGGGGGGGGAAGGCAGGTCCCAGCCTGCATCCTGCACCAAATACAGGGGGGACATCGAGCCTGCCCAGGAGCCGGGCAAAAGGGGGTGGGGGAAGCACAGTTAGGTTACAGAATCAGGAATTCTTTGACTCCCCACAATTTATTGGCGTTCCCTTCACGCTCTGAACTTCAGCAGCCTCGAGAAAAATCATCAAGCTAGAAGGAGCGAACCTGAGAGATGTGAGTGTGCAGGATGGTTGTGGCCAAGAAACCCCCAGTGCATGAATGGGTGGAATTAGGTCATTTGTTCAGGTGGTTATTGAGCTCCTGCTGTATGCCAGTTGCAGGCCAGGCACTGGTATTAATAGCAGTTAATTGCTATAATAGCCACGGTGGGCTGAGATTTCCTCTGTGCTAAGAATTTTGCGTCAACACATCATTTTCTTCTCACAGCAACCCCATGACATGGGTACTGTCCCCATCCACTCTCAGAGATGAGGACACAAAGAGCTTAAATGACTTCCCCGGGCTCACTTAGCTAACTAGCCCAGGTTTCTCCAGAGCTCATGACTCAAGCACAAACCATGGAGCTCAGAGTCCAGGACAATGTAAAAACAGAATGACCATGCTGTGCTTGGGAACAGGAGATGCCTAACCCAGCAGGGCGGGTGACACGAGTGTACATGTCCCAACTCCAAGAGGAATCAGTTAAAGAAGGCTCTAGAAAGAGGGAATGGCCCATACAAAGGCAAAGAGATGGGAGGAAGCTCACCCTGTCCAGGAAACTGCACTCATTTGCCACGGCATGCAAGGTGCCTAGGGTGATGGGGCAGAGGCCTGGAAGGTGAGCAGGAAGTGCCCTGAAATGCAGACCCAGGGACCAGAGCAGTGGGGACATGTAAGAGAGTGGCTTGTACATGGCATCTTTGAAAATCTGCACAGTAACATGAATGAGGGGTGCAACGAAATAGCCCAGAGGCAGGGATGCCAGTGAGGGGGCTGCCGTGCCACCCAGAAGGGAGGCAGTGGTTGCCAGTGAAGTCACCGAGGTGGCCTAGTGGCAGCTGCTGTCCACTTCGGGGACATCCATGGACCCTCCTCTGTCCATTCAGGGTGCAAAGCTCCAGTAGAAGGAGGAGATTTAGCAGGATGCAAAGGATCCCCGATTTCTTCCAGGACCGTCCCAGGCATCCTGGGTACTGCCTGGTGCAGGGGCTGTTTTGCAAACATTAGTAGCAAAGTCATGATGATAACCACCAGCACCCATAAGGCCACATTCTGTGCTGAGACCTCTACATATTTGTTTGCATTTATTCCTCCCCACCAACACAGAGGTAGGAATTATTATCAAGTTGAGGGTCAGGCAGCTATCCTGCCTGCTGTCCAGCCAAGATTTGAACCTGACATTCTGTTTGACCTCAAATCCCATATGTTTACCACTCGTGTAGGGATCTGGGGAGACATTACAACTATCTTCCTTTGTAGCATTGTCTTGAGCAGACACTTAGGGAGAAAATGTTGAATTCAAGGGATGTCATCTTTAAATAATAACATTTCTTGATTTTAGTTTGAAATCAGTGAGCTGGAGCCCCCTAGACACTAGCAGCGCTAGCTCAGTGTCTGCACACAGCCGGGCTCAGCAGATGTGCAGTGACCGATCATCAAACTCGCATACTCCCTGTGCTTAGGAAAGTGCCAGCCACAAGATGGATCGGGCTGGTAAGTGGGGACGGGACGAGATGGGATGGCATTAGTACTCAGTCTGTGATGGTCAAGTCCCCAGCCTTCTAGACTGGAAGTCAGGTCACTCACAGCAGAGTCCCCCACCTCCTGCTAGCCCAGGTTCCTGACCCAGAAATGAATCTGAATCCCACTGTCATATTCCAGCAGAAGCCCATCGATGGCACTGCCCGCCCTCCTTGGGAGCCACCAGCCCACTGAGTTTCTGTGGCTGGCCTATGTGCCCCAGTCGTCCCTCAATGCCACGGGACTCCAGACCCTCCAAAGCACGGTCCAGGCTCCTGACAGTCTACCCTTCCCATATTGAACTCGGGAGGTGTACAGAGCAACAGGAAGTGCACGGCAATTCACGGAGCCTTCACCCGCCTCGGGCTCCTACAGGCCTGTTCACCAAGCAAAGTCCAGCTCACCAGAGAAAGCTGTCATTTTCTGAATTCTTTGCTGGCAATGCCTGCTCGTTTGAGCCAGCTCTGGCTTGTCACCTGCGATTCAGGAGCGTGCTGGGTGCCCAACCCTAGGCCGTGCTGGCGGAGGACTTACTGTGTACCAAGCTCTGTGCCAGGAGCTGGGACACCATCGTCCACAGGGGGGTCAACTGCCTGCATGTGCTCACGGTCTCAGCTCCTGGTTCTCCGAAGTTTCCCCTGGAACGGACTCAGAAGGGAGAGACACCCCTGCCACCCGGGCTGCCGATGAGGGAATCTCACAAGGTGGCACAGTCCCCGGTGGGGAGGAGAGTACCAGCCCAATGGCCAGCCCAGGAGGGGTCTAGCTGAGCCCACGTCCAGGAGCCACACCTGCAGGCGGATGCCCCCCCCCAAGCTTGGTCTCCGGTGGAGACCTGCCAGCCCATGCACAGCGCCCTCCTTGCGTCCCCCCAACCCATGCAATGGTGCTCGAACCCCAACACACGGTACCCTCCAAGCGGACAGGGTTCCTTCCGGTTTTGCCCGTCCCCGTAGGCAGCGGTGTGCTGGTAAGTGTTCGACAGTCAGCCTGCCGAGAAAAAGGAAAGCCCTGATTTATAGCACTTGACAATTTTCCTGGTGTAAATACAACCCCTGTGGCTGACTACAAGCTACCAACATGTGTCACTGCACGTGGAGTTAGGAAGATGTGTCCCCCACCGTAAAATTCCCACCACACAGAGAGACAGCAGGCTGGGGCCAGATTCAGCCCGTGGACTGCAGATTCAGCCTGAAATATTTACTGTCTGGCCCTCTTACAGAAAAAGTCTGGCGACCCCTGCAACACACATAAATAACTCCAAGAACAGAGATACTGGCGACGCGTAGTGACATAATTAGGAAGTGACGAGTTTTTATGACCTTTTTAAAAAATATAATTTATTTCATTGTAACTTTATATAACTTGATCTTTTCTTAATGGCTGTTTGACAACCAGCTTGCAAAAATTTCTGAAAAATTAGCAATCAGCTGTCATGAGCGACGACAGGTCAGCCACAGTGCACCACGGCTGGTCTCTCTGGGGTCTGGCCCCAAGTCCGTGCACGATGGTTGTCTTTCGAATGGTTGGATCTAACTGCAATGCTAGCGTTCTAACCCCTGAGCTACACTGGCCTGCTCCATTCATTCATTCATTCATTCATTCATTCGATTCCATTAAACACCTGTTTATTAGCCCCTACTTGAATGCCAGGGGCTTTGTTGGGTACTACAGATCCAACACACACAGATACTGCCCCCAGGGAGCTCACAGTTGAGTGCAGACGCCAGCTACAACACCCCACTACCCACCCCAAAAAAAGAGTATACCAAGAAGAAAACAAACTCCTTACTCTTCCTTTTATCAGCGGTGTGTATCTTTGGTTGATTTACTAGAAAGTGAGGTCATCACAGTACCTTCTTCTCAAGTCGCAGAAATTCAATGAAAATGATCAATATCGCACTCACAGCCCAGGCCAGAGTAAGCACTTCCCATAGTGCTGTCTCGCCGCCACTGTGACATTAGAGCCCATGTTGACACAGCCCCGACAATGAGCCTCCACCTGGTCCCCTTCCCTGAACGTTTCTCATTTGCCCGACAGCTGGGTGCAGACACAAAATGCAGCAGCCCCTCTGGGTTGAAAGCAGGTTTCCACCGCCGGGGCCGTTAACATCTGGGGCGGGTGACCTGTTGGTGGCAGGCACCTGTCCCATGCGCTGCAGATGTTTCGGAGCATCCCCAAGTTGAGACAACCAAAAATGCCTCCAAATGTCACCTAGGAGGCAAAATCACCCCTGGCTGAGAACCCCTGGTTTAAAGGAAGGTGTTTTTCCCTCCCTCTAAGCTGGCAGGGCTAATATTGGGTCAGCCACATCCTTTTGAGCCATCCCATAGGTCACAGTCTGGAGACAGTCGTGCTCCTCCTCAGAATCCACTTCCAGTGGCTAGGAGCAAACTCACTCACAGCCACCTCTATCAGACTGTCAAGGAACACGGGGACCCATAGGAGAGAATTAGATGCAACCTGTTTTAAGCTGTTTCTGTAGCCTATTTAATGGCGCATGGCCATCCATGTGTGTAATAGAATGCCAAGCACCAAAAGCAGGCAACAAAACGATTTGTTCCTGAGTGGTCCCGATTTCGTAGCTGCCCTGAGTGCTATATTGCTTTGGGGGAATTTTCTGGAAGCCGTGCCTGAAAACTCTATCTCAAAATTACATCAGCCAGGGCCGGGCGTGGTGGCTCACTCCTGTAATCCTAGCACTCTGGGAGGCCGAGGCGGGCGAATTGCTCAAGGACAGGAGTTCGAAACCAGCCTGATCGAGACCCCGTCTCTACTAAAAATAGAAAGAAATTAATTGACCAACTAAAAATACATATATACAAAAAATTAGCCGGGTGTGGTGGCGCATGCCTGTAGTCCCAGCTACTCAGGAGGCTGAGGCAGCAGGATCGCTTGAGCCCAGATGTTTTAGGTTGCTGTGAGCGAGGCTGACGCCACAGCACTCACTCCAGCCTGGGCAACAGAGTGAGACTCTGTCTCAAAAAAAAAAAAAATTACATCAGCCAGGAGGGCATTCTCGAAGCTCATTTTTAACAGGCATCAGATACGGGCATGAGGGAACACACATTCCGTACCGATGGCATTTAATGTACCCATCAAGTAATAAAATGTGTTTGTTCTCCTCGTATAAGGAGAGGAGTCATGTTTTCATCCTGAAGTTGGGGGACATCCTTCTCCCTCTTCTCCTGGGCCGATGCGAGGCCAGCTCGCGTTCTAGCCTGCATCGGTGGGGAGGGGCGGGGAGACGCGTGGTTGGCGTCCAGCAGCCTGTGCTACCAGGTAGCGGTGTGACAAGTCCCCACGGCACACCCCGCCTTCTCTGCTTTCGGGACACAAAGGAGGCGCAAGGGGCCATGAAGTGCCATCCTCTTCCCCTCGCCTTCTCACTGTCACCACATAATCAAGCCTGCAGATCACAAGGAAGTATTACAGAGGACTGAGCATTTTTCTGGAACTAACATTTCTTGCAGTCAGTCGATCCATCGATTGATTGGTTTATATCCAGATGCCAAAACTTTAGGAGCGGTTAATCTCTGGAGAGGTGGGAATACAGGTAAACTTTTGTCCTTTGCAAATCGATGTCACTGAAGTACAATTTACATGTAATAAAGCACATCCATTTTGAAAGAACAGGCTGGTAAGTTTTGACAACCCTATACCCCCGTGTAACCGCCACCTCAATCGAGAGAGGGCCGTAGAACATTCCCACAGCCTCAAAAAAGTTTCTCTGTGTTCTCTGCGGTTGATCCAGCCACCCACTCCCGGCCCCAAGCAATCCCTGATCTGCCTTCTGTCGCTACAGAAAGTTTTACTCTCTCTTGAATGTCACATAAATAGCCCAGTGTCTCAGATCTATAATCTCAGCATTTGGGGAGGCTGAGGCAGGAGGATCGCTTGAGATCAGGAGTTTGAGACCAGCCTGGACAACATAGCGTGACGACCCGCCCCTCATCCACTAAAAAAAACAAAAATTAGCAGGGCACGGCTGCGGCATGCCTCGCGTAGTCAGCTACTAGGAGAGCTGAGCAGCGAGGTCGCTTGAGCCCAGCAGTTGGAGGTTGCTGTGAGCCATGATGACACCACCGCACTCTAGCCGGATCAACACAGTGAGACCCTGTCTCAAAAAATAAAGAGGCTGACAAAATAAAATAGAATAAAAGAATATGTACTCGGCCGGGCGCGGTGGCTCATGCCTGTCATCCTAGCACTCTGGGAGGCCGAGCGCGGGAGGGATTGCTCGAGTCAGGAGTTCGAAACCAGCCTGAGCAAGGGCAAGGACCCGTCTCTACTATAAATAGAAATTAATTAGGCCAAGCTAATACTATATAGAAAGAATTAGCGGGCATGTGCGCGCGATGCCTGTAGTCCCAGCTACTCGGAGACTGAGGCAGGAGGATCGCTTAGCCCAGGAGTTTGGAGGTTGCTGTGAGCTAGCGCTGACCCACAGCACTCACTCTAGCCTGGCAACAAAGACGAGACTCTGTCTCAAAAAATAAATAAATAACTAAAAATAAATAAAAACACTGTGTTTTTCAGATTAATAGCATCTCTCTCCCACACCGGCCTTTGCTATGAGGATGCGCAAATTGACCAATTTACGTGTGCCCTCCTTTCTTTCCCTTCCATCCACTCTGCGTCAGTTGCCAAGAAGCCACAAAAGGGAGAAATTTGGGGAGGAGGGGTGTTACGTGTGCGGAGCACAAACTGATGTCCCCAAACTCACTCACACCCCAATTTGCACCAGCTGGTCCAGACAATCCTCAGGCAGGCAGAGAGATGCTATCACCCCATTTTGCAGATTAGGAAGCTGAGGCAAGTCGCCACAGTTGTTCTAAGATTCCCCCAGCAAGGGAGTGGGGAGATGCCACGCAGGGACTCTGGGTAGAATAGCAAAGACATCAGGAGCACAGACTTGGCATCGGAATGGTAGGTCTCCATCTTCCTTAGCTGGGTCACGCTGACCAAGTCTCTTAACCCCCCCCCAACCTCAGTCTCTGACCTGTGACACAGATCGAATTGTGATGCGACTGAGCTGACGAGATAATGCACCAGGGTGCTCAGGGCAAGGCTTAGGACGAAGTTGGTGCTCAGTAAACGGGGAGATGGACCCAGTGCAGTGGCTCACGCCTATAATCCCAGCACTCTGGGAGGCCAAGGCAGGAGGATTGCTTGAGCTCAGGAGTTCGAGACCAGCCTGAGCAAGAGGGAGACCCCATTTCTATTAAAAATCAACATTTAAAAGAAAAATGGTAGGGAAAATGGCTTCCCAACCCCTACTCTCCTTTCTTTTTTCTTTCTTTTTTTTTTTTTTTTGAGACAGAGTCTCACTCTGTTGCCCAGGCTAGAGAGAGTGCCATGGCGTCAGCCTAGCTCACAGCAACCTCAATCTCCTGGGCTCAAGCGATCCTCCTGCCTCAGCCTCCCGAGTAGCTGGGACTACAGGCATGCACCACCATGCCGGCTCATTTTTTCTATATATCCTTAGTTGGCCAATTAATTTCTTTCTATTTATAGTAGAGACAGGGTCTCGCTCTTGCTCAGGCTGGTCTCGAACTCCTGACCTCGAGCGATCCACCGGCCTCGGCCTCCCAGAGTGCTAGGATGACAGGCGTGAGCCACCGCGCCCGGCCCCTAGTCTCCTTTCTTCAGCTAGACTCGCAGGTGCGGAGAAGGCAGGCCACGGCGTGCGGACACCTCGGCTGTGGCAGAAACCACGCAGAGGGGCTTAAGCAAAGCATAGACACGGAGCATAAGAGTCAGGGGTGTAGACACATAGGTACTACAGTAATAGGGTATTGGGCAGGGGGAGGGGGAGGTGGAGGGTATATACATACATAATGAGTGAGATTGCACCATCTGGGGGATGGTCATGATGGAGACTCAGACTTTTGGGGGGAGGGGGGAAAGGCATTTATGAAACTTAAAATCTATACCCCATAGATCATGCCGAATAAAAAAAAAAAAAAAGAGTCAGGGGTGTAAAGGTAGCCAGACTCAAAACCAAAGACCCAGGGACCTTCTCTCTGCTTCATGTTGCTGTTTCCCTCTGCACAGGACTCACTCTCTTTGCTGTGTTGCATGACCGAAGGTGGCCACTCCAGGGACCCTCTCTTTGGTCCAGTTCCAAGGGAGTGTCCGAGACAAGCGGTACCAATGTGGTTGCTGGAGACCGACTGCTAGAGGTGAAAAGGACCGTCAAGTGCATCATCATGAACTGGGCAGTGCCCCCAGGAAGTGTCTTATCTCCGCTGACAACTACCCCTTTCTCTGTGCTCCCCGATCCCAAGCATTTCGTCGCCGTGTTGATAGTAATAGCTCAGACTCGTCTAGGGCTCGCCACGTGCCAGCCGCTCTGGGAGGTGAGCACTTTGCACGTATTGACTCCTCTAAATGAATCCTTATAAAACTTCGACGAAGTTTACGATGTCCATTGTACAGATGGGGAAACTGAGGCACAGAAAGGTTAAGCAACTTGCCCAAGACCACTTGCACTGGACCAATCAGATACCAGACCCCCCCTCAGCCACCACGCACCGCCTTGTTGCCCATTTTAGCCTCAATAATATTAATATTTTTTTAATATTTTTTTATAATTTATCTGTTATTTATCATTTATCTGCCCACGTCTCTCAAAATGAGGAAAAAGATGAAGAAGGGAGGAATCTGACATCTGACGTTTCACAAGAGCATTTACCAGCCGAAGATGGAAAACGCTGGAACTTGCTGGCCACCTCACTGTTTTTATTGGGACCTGGAGTTGGGGAGAAGGTCGGTGGTGTCTTCAGGGCCTCTTGGGGACTCACGCAGCCCCGAGGGAGACACTCCCCAGAGCCTGGGACCAGCCGGGCCCGGACGCGGACGCGCAGCCCCCGCACATGGCCGTGGCACCCCGCGCCCGCACACAGCAGGTGCTCGATCAAGCTTGCCACCGCTGAGAAAATGTGCACCCCACTTTGCGGTTTCCAAAGACAGGTTAGGAGATCAGGAAAGAAGGGGAGCCGGGTGGAAGGATGCAGAGCACAGCGAGGGCTGGGCGCAGGCCGGGAGGAGCAGGAACCGCGTGGGACTGCGAAGCCCCCCTCCCTCCAGCCCTCCCTGTCCTCCCCTGCGTCCGACTTCCTGACCGGCTGCCTCCGCCGCTGTCTGGCCCCGGGCCCCACGTGGCTGCCACAGCCCCGCTGCCCAGGGCAGAGTGGTCCCCCCCACCTCTTGGCTTCCCAGCATCCCAGGGAGCCATCTGGGGAGCCTGGGGTTCCCAGCCCCAACCTCAAAGACGGAGAGCACCCCGCCCGGGGCTCCCTGGGTGGGGGAGGGGAAGGGCTCAAAGCCAGGCCTCTGTGTTCGTTTCCCAGGGCGGGCACGGCACAGCGCCCCAGCCCAGGGGTGGGGGGACGCAACTGGGTGACAAATGTACTCTGTCCTGGGTCTGGAGGCCGGGGGCCCTGAGGTTGAGGTGCCGGCAGGGGAGGTTCTGTTCCGTGCCTGTCGTCGGTGGCGGACCTGGCCGTCCCTTGGCTAGCAGACAGACGCCCGCCCCATCTCTGCCCCCACGTTCAAGGCGTTCTCCCTGCGTGTGTGTGCCTGCGTCCCTCTGTTTGTGAGGACACGGTCCCGTCGGATCAGGGCCCACCCTACTCCAGTGTGTCCTCGTCTTCCCTCACTACCTCTGCACCCACCCTGCTTCCAAACGAGGTCCCGTTCCGGGCCACCGGGGGTCACGACCTCCAGGTCTTCTGCAGCGGGCACAACTTGACCCCCAACAGAGCCCAGAGCCCACCAGAGAAGCCGCTCGCTCTGTCCCCAGCCCGCTGTCACCGCAGTGCCCTTCCCAGCCGGGGGCCTCCCTTCCGCCCGGAGGGTGTCTCGCACCCTGTTTAATCGGGGACGGGCGAGGGTGCAAGTCTGCCCTGCCGTTCTCAAGTTCACGCTGGAACGTTCCAAGGGGGCAGCCAGGATCCTGTGGCTCCACGCCGGGTGCCATGGGCGGGGCGTGACTCAGCTCCGGGCCGGGCCCTCAGGAACAAGGCCGTGTGCACGGGGACAGCCCGGTGTCTGCACGTCCACACCACGCTCCGGTGCCATCCGGCAATTTGGGAGGCATCAAACCTGAACGGCTCACAATGGGCTCATGAGTTTCATTCCGCGGAGAGGACAATGGCCCGTGAACCTAAGCTGACGGGTGTCCCCTCTGCCCAGGTGGTTTCACGATCGCTGTGTTTGACGGGTGGCTGGGGCCCGGGCCCACGGGGTTCAGGCAAGTGGTCTATTTTTATTCATTTTTCCATGTTGTTTGGCTAAAGATCTTAAGCAGATTTTACTGGGAGGTTAACGAGCCAGATCTCCTGCAAGGGTTAGCTGCATTTCAGAAGCCCCGGAGCCGGGGGCAGGTGGGGAAGCTGAGGCTCGCCACGTCTTGGGCCACGGCGGGTGTCACCGGCCAATCGTGGACTCAACTGCTGAGGCCACGGGCCAGTGAGTGTTGGAACAAGGTTTGGGATCCAGGCCTGTGTAGACCAGAGCCTGCGTTCGGTTTGTACTTTGATCTGGTGACTCTCGGTTTTAAGTCTGTACTTGGTCTCCCTGAAAGAAGTGCTAACGGGGCCACCGACATCCAGACCCCAGCAACCGTGTCCCCGTCATCCAGCCATCCAGCCCCGGGGGCAGTCAGCGAGATGGAACGCTTGCCTTGCCAGAGCTTAAACAAACGAAACAAAAAATCGACTGGGGTCTTCTGGTCTGCCCTGCTGTATTGCAGGAGGGGAAACTGAGGCTCAGAGAAGGGAAGAGGTGCCTCACCCAAGGCCGCACGGGGCATGGTGGCAAAACCAGGCTCAGAGCTCCCCTGCCAATCTCCTGCTCCTGTTTTCCAGTCTCAGACGGAGTACGCCAAAGACCTGTGTATTTTTCACCTGTCTGCTTGTTGTCCCAGTCCGTGGTGACGATCCCTGGGGAGACTCATTTGCCTCTTGTTCCATCTGCCCCGGCCCCTCGAAACCCAGCTGCGCGCTCCCTCTTGCTCCCTAATGATGCCTGCTGTGGCTTCCGCCATCCCTGGGATTTCTCCTGCTCCACAAACGTTTCCCTGTGTTTCCTCTGGGCCTCCCTCCTGGTGTCACTATCCCCCGCCCCAGAAAAGGCTCTGATCCCTCCTATGCCCCACCCCCGTGCTGGCAAACCCTCCCCAGGGCTGACTGCATGGAGCGGCCCAGCAAAGTGAGAACCGCCCCCCGTGTGGCTGCAAACCAGTGTGGCTGCAGGAAGTCCAGGAACTTTTTAAAACTTTGCTTTTCTGTTTACAAAAATGATATATTTTTCCCTTGGAAAAATAAGAAGATACAGATAAACCATAATGAATATTAATTAAGTACCTACTATAGTCTCAGCTCCATGTACCTATTAGCTCATTGGACCCTCAAAACAACCAAAGAGAAATTCTGCAGGACAAATGACACCGGTTCTTCAACAAAAATGGCAAGGAAGGGCCGGGCCCAGTGGCTCACGCCTGGAATCCTAGCACTCTGGGAGGCCGAGGCGGGTGGATCACTCAAGTTCAGGAGTTCGAAACCAGCCTGAGCAAGAGCGAGACCTCGTTTCTACTAAAAATAGAAAGAAATTAATTGGCCAATTAAAAATCTATAGAAAAAGTTAGCCGGGCATGGTGGCACATGCCTGTAGTCCCAGCTACTCTGGAGGCTGAGGCAGTAGGATCGCTTGAGCTTAGGAGTTTGAGGTTGCTGTGAGCTAGGCTGATGCCATGGCACTCAGTCTAGGCTGGGCAACAAAAGTGAGACAGAAGTGAGACTCTGTCTCAAAAAAAAAAAAAGATTCATGATGTGGCATGTGTCCAAATTTCCTTTTTCACGGCTGAATAATATTCCATTGTACGGATACCACAGTTTGTTTATTTTTTTTATTTTTTATTTTTTTTGAGACAGAGTCTCCCTTTGTTGCCCAGGCTAGAGTGAGTGCTGTGGCATCAGCCTAGCTCACAGCAACCTCAAACTCCTGGGCTCAAGTGATCTTTCTGCCTCAGCCTCCCGAGTAGCTGGGACTATAGGCATGCGACACCATGCCCGGCTAATTTTCTCTCTATATATATATATATATTTAGTTGGTCAATTAATTTCTTTCTATTTTTAATAGAGACAGGGTCTCGCTCAGGATGGTTTCGAACTCCTGACCTTGAGCAATCCTCCTGCCTCAACCTCCCAGAGTGCTGGGATTACAGGCGTGAGCCACTGCGCCCGGCCTACCACAGTTTGTTTATCTGTTCACCTAGCAATAGACACTGGGGCTGTTTCTGCCTCTCGGCTGTTGCAAATACTGCTTCCATCAACGTGGGAGTACAGCCATCCCCTGGAGTGGAGTCCCTGCCTTCAGTCCTGGTCGGTCACACCAAGAAGGGGGACTGCTGGGTCACATGGCACTTCTACTTTCCCAGGCACTCCTTTGAATCAGTTTTCCTTCTGTACTTTTCACCTAACCATAGCCTTTCCGTGTTGCCATGGTTCTGTCACTTCGATGGCCACACGTGGGTCCCAGGGGGCAGAGGGGGCTGCCCTGCTCCTGGACCCTCCTCCCCATCTGTGCCTGGTCACGACTCCCGTTTCAGGGATGACTCCAGGGGCTCGTGCCTGACCAGCCGAGGGCCCCGCTAACACCGGGATTGCCACCCCCACCCCCGCCCACTTCCTGGTTGGCACCCTGTGATGGTTTGGGCCGTCACACGTTGAATGTCACACGTTGAACGTCCCCTCTCTTGGGGAACGGCGACTTCCGTCTCTCGCTCTCTGCCCTCTCCCTTCCTAAGGTTGCATGAATGGATGTTATTGAAGTCATTAAGTAATTACCTCCTCTCCTGGGGGTTGTTTCCAACTTTTCAATATAAACAACAAAGCCACGACAAAGAGAGGTTTTCGTGTGTGTGCGCACGCGTGCGTGCGTGTGCGTGTGTGTGTGTGTGTGTGTGTCTTTTTCCTATGCTTGCTAGTGAATCATTTTCTTAAGATAAATTTCCAGGAGTGGGATAACTCATCCCTGGATTTGGGGCAGGGAGAGGAAATGAAAGAAAATGGCAGATTGGTCACCTTCACTGGACCAAAAGGAGGCAGACGGAAGTGCAGGTTGTCAAGAGAACATGATTTTTTTTTTTTGTTTGAGATCAGAGTCTTACAACTGTTGGCTAGTAGTCCCTTTTTCTTTTTTTTTTCCTTTTTCTAATTTTTTTATTTTTTTATTTTTTATTTATTTATTTATTTTTTTTGAGATAGGAGTCTCGTTTGGTTGTCCAGGGCTAGAGGGTGAGGTTGCCGTGCGTCGGGCCTAGCTCACAGCAACCTCAGCAGCTCCTGGGCTCGAGCGGATCCTTCTGCCTCAGCCTCGAGTAAGCTGGACTACAGCCATGCGCCAC